CTAACTTGGCCAAAGTGGTCATTGAAGAGGTTCGAGATGCTTATGCTCTTGTACCTGTGCCTACGAGACGAGGTGATGACAGTGGGACAGGCCCTCCGGACCTTCATTACATGGCCTAGACATCTAATCGGGCCTATTTTGAAAAAGGTTTGCATATACTTTCTGTTAATTATCATATGTAGTATGATACTGTTTTTTATTATTTCTCAAGTCAATGTTATTTTATGTAGGATGTTCGGAAGCCACCCAGGTTGCCTAAGCTGGTTCCTACTTCCCATACTAGTAAAGGTAAGGAAGTAGATGTCCCGAGAAAATCCAATTTTTCAACTACTATCTGTTGTCCCACAGTTGTATATTCAATCTTTTCAAGTGAAGTGGGATGTTGATAAGTTAGGGGTAGACAATAAGAACTTTCCCCTTTACATTGACCACACCGATGCTTGTGGAGATAGCAGTTGGCAATCGGTGTCTAAACATAGCAGTGTTACAATTTTGGACAATGTAAGTATTTATTTTTATTTACTAATTATGTTATTTGAAGTTATCATCATATTTAATGTACATTGAACTGCCTACTTTAGGATGCTTGAATGAATTGTCGGAGGAACAACGCACCCAAGATGTGTATGGATTTTTTGAGCCCCAATCCATACAAAAATCGGGAAACAAGAGAGAAGAAGTTCAAATATACATCCAAAATTGGATGATGAAGTCAAGGAAGAAAGTTTACTTGGGTGCTTACCACCATCGGTAAGTATTTAAGCGTATGAAATTATTCGTATTAAATTTTATAGTGTATTGTATTATCCTAACTTTTTGTAATGTAAGCAGAAATCATTGGCAGTTGTTGGTTGTTTGCCCAAAGCGAGAATGTTGTGGCTTGGTTCTCGCTCACTTGGGCAAGAAACCTGATGCAGATCTTAAAAACATTGTAAACAGGTACACATTCTTATAATAATTTAAACAATTATTAATTGTTTTGTTACTTAATTGTTTCATTATATCTTGTATTACATAGTGCATTTAAGGTTTGCAATACAATTGATGGAGTACACACAAGCAAAAACACGACTCCAGATTGGATTTTTGTTAATGTAAGTTCTTTTATATTTATGTATTATATCATTCATTTTATATGTCAAATTAATATATTATTTTTTGTAGTGTAATAGGCAACCAGGATCTTATGAGTGCGGATATTATGTTATGCACTTGGATGTGGCTGATTGTTGTTAGCAAGATTGAGGATACATGGAATCAGGTTTGCTTAAATTTAGTATTCAATAAAAGACCCAAGTATTGTGTCATTGGATACTTTGTTAAATTATCTTTTTCTTGTAACAGGTATTTTCGAACAGGGAAGCATTGCCCATAGAGACCATTGACGATATTAGAAACACATGGGCCGATAAGTTTGTTAAAGTTAGAAGTAGGCAAGTTTAGTTATTAATTTAGTACTTAGTTTAGTAGTTAGTTTAGTAGTTAGTTTAGTTGTTAGTTTAGTAGTTAGTTTAGTTACTTTACTAGTTAGTTTACTAGTTAGTTTATTAGTTAGATTAGTAGTTAGTGTATTTGGTAGATAAGTAGTTGGATACACAATAATTTTGGATACAATTTTATTTTTGGATGCACATTCAATTGTTTATATCTTGTACATTGTCTGCCTGGGTTGTATTCAAATTTGCGGGTATGTATATATACAAACATTGGGTACCCTGTATAAACAAAGCGTCCATTTAAAAAAAAAAAGACTTTCTACGTCGGTTCATACCATAACCGACGTAGTAAACCCGTACTCGCTTGAGCGACGAGTGTACTCGCTTGAGCGACGACAGCTTCAAATAAAGGGGACTCTCGGGTTCCATCTCGCTTGAGCGAAGAGTGGACTCGCTTAAGCGACGAAAGCTTCAAACAAAGGGGACTCTCGGGTTCCATCTCGCTTGAGCGACGAGTGTAATCGCTTAAGCGACGAAAGCTTCAACCAAAGGGGACTCTCGGGTTCCATCTCGCTTGAGCGACGAGTGTACTCGCTTAAGCGACGAAAGCTTCAAACAATGGGGACTCTCGGGTTCCATCTCGCTTGAGCGACGAGTGTACTCGCTTAAGCGACGAAAGCTTCAAACAAAGGGGTCTCTCGGTTCAATTTCGCTTGAGCGACGAGTGTACTCGCTTGAGCGACGAGTATACACTTTCAACGTCGGGTATGAATAACCGACGTTGAAAGCCAAAACTTTCAACGTTGGGTATAGAGAACCGACGTTGAAAGTGTATACTTTCAACGTCGCCTTATACAACGTCGGTTGTATAACAGACGTTGAAAGCCTTATATAACCGACGTTGAAAGGCATATCTGTAGCAGTGAATTATGAACTTTCAACTACCTATTAATTTTTAAAAATTTAACTAACTTTTCCGCTTTCACCTAGTTTCATAAGATACCAAATATATTCCATCCAGCAAAGACATTAAACATAGGCCAAAATTTCAAATCAAAAGCTAGCAACCATATAACCTTAATTAGGCTAGTTATACATAAATGTAGAGAGTTATTATAAACAGTGTCCTACCATTGTCTTAATAATCATTTAAATTTATAATAAAGATTTATAATATTGAGCCATTAACAGTACTTATTTTTGGTTGAATATATTGCTTGTGAAATATGAGGATAAAAAAATGTTTATTGAAAAAAAAAATATAACATTATTTAAATGCTTAGTAGTGTTAAGTGATAGGAATTTAATTACACAATTATAAAATTATAAGGATTAACATTCATTAAAATGTGGGAATTCAGTTATTAATTTGACCAAACAACTATGCTTAAAAGAATCATGGGTATAAATTTGAGGAGTAGGGTTTGACATTTGACCACTCTTATTCAAAGCAACACATAATTGACGGTGATATTTAAAGTAGAACAACATTTTAGTAAAGTTGCAACTAACACAATAAGATTAAGAGGGACCACACTGTCTTTAGATTAGATAATTGGGCCTGCTAGAAGGAGGCCCATTCCATACTGTCATAAGCGAACATGGGCTGTACCTGCCGGTGGAAAATTTGGATTCATTACACCACCAATGATTAGAACAAACCTTTGTTTTCTTCAGCAACAGTCCTAATCCTAATAATGAAGGAATGATTGAAACTATAAAAAACGAATGATTGAGTACGCTCCGCAGAAACTATTCTTAAAATAACACCTCTTTTTTTTTTTCACATCGCTAAAAAAATTTGAATTATGCTAAGCTAACGTGGATTAAATGTTTTAAATTCAATATTAAACTTTTAAATGTGTTTTTAATTTTGAATATATATGTACCTCTTTTGGATAAACACTCATTCAACTCGATCCATTCACTATTTTGTTTGTGTCTCTCTTTAAATACCTACTGAGTCCTAAAACCTAGTTAAGTTGTTTTCAATCCAAGAGGAGGTTTATGAAAAATAAAATCTTTTTTTTTAGTTTTTTAAACCATGACTCAAGGGTTCGTTATTCGTTCGCGAATTCCAAAAAAAGATATCATACTAATTACTTTAAGTGATAAAGAAAATAAGAAGGGCCTATTTTATTTAATTTTGTCTTTTATTTTTTAAAAACAATTTTAAGAAATAATTTTGAAAAGCTTTTTTTAAAATAATTTGAAAAATAATATCTATAGGATGATTCTATTTTTAAAATTATTTGAATAAAAAATTATAACATAGATGATCATAATCAGCATAAAACGTAGAAATCATTAATTTTAAAAAGAAACTGTAAAAGAGATTATCTTTTATTAGTTTTTAATTATTTAATTTTTAAAAACTAAGAAATAGAAACAATTTTTAACAAAATAATTACCAAACAATTTTATGAGTTTTAAAAAATTAAAAAACTTTTTTATTTTTAAGCAGCAAATCGTACGTCTGAAAATAAAATAATGATAATGATTAAGAACAAGAAGGCATTAGTTTAGCAAATCATGTGCTCTAATGATTTTGAAATGGTGATAGTAGGCTAAACGTGCTACCCTTTTATCCTTTAGAGAGTTAGGCGTTTAGCTAATCAAGTTTGGTTGTCATCGTGTCCTCTTCCAATTAAGAACTCGTCAACATCCCATGTGCCTAACTAATGGCTCATCACCCAACCCTGCACCTCCAAATTCCCCTTGTTTTTCTTTTCTTCTATTAAAAAGGGAATCTTATTCATACTCCTCTTCCTAAATAATTAATGTAATGTTTAAAAATAATATATTTACACTATTATAAAAAAATGGACTTTCCTACGTGAAGATGGTCTAACTTAGAGATTGGTGGCCAGGGTGTTAAACATGTGGCTAATTGGTTCTTAAGATATGATCAATTAAACTTGCTTCCATGCCCAATTTTTTTCTTTGCTCTAGTGGTCTACAATACTATGGAGAAATACACAAAATATTCGATTATCAAAAGAAATGAAAAGAAAAACTGAATTGTTACCTGCTTTAATTAAAGTGTGCGCTCCTCCAATACCTTTGGACAATATTTATTCCATAAAGAAACTTTCCCGTTTTACAAATACTACAGCACAAACCACGAAACAGGTGGATATGAAACTTTATAGATTGCTTCACATAGGTGATTACTATCAACGATGGTGTCCTAGAAAAATTATTGTGCTATAAAATGTAAATTCACTGGCTTTCCTCACAAATTCGGAAAAAATGGCATATATATATAACTTTTTATTTTATTTTTCTAAATGAGAATTAACTTACACAGTATTCAACACTGACGAACACAATTAACAAAGGGTATCCAAGGAAACAACCAATATTTGAGGATGTAAAGAAACAAATTAATTTGTGTAACGCTGTTCATATCAATATGTTATCGTCATACACCTGTGTTTACATTGATTGAAGAAGAGCATGAAATTTTTCTAATTTTCGTAAGAAAGGTACATTAAAAAGAATGAAGTTTGTTATATTTTCTTAAAAAGAAAAATTCAATAATAATTTAAAAAAAAGTAGTATCTACTGTGTAAGAGTAAGAATGTTGAGCAGTGCCACCCGAGAGTTTATCAAAGCCCTCAACACTTTCTCCGTAACACTTTCAATGGAGCAGAGACATTCCTCCAAATCTCGCATTTTCTTCAGAACCAACCTCACCTCTTCATCACCCTTCTTCTTCAGATTCCGAAGATTTTCCATTTCAACTACATCCCGTTCCCGAAGCTCTTCAATGCCGTCACGGTCCTTGTTCAGCCTCCCACCCTTTCTCGACAACTTCACCATTTGCGCCCACGACAACCTTCGTGACGCGAACGACACTGCCATCCCGTTAAACAGCGCAACGGAAGCGGAAACCGTCACGGACATAACATCGGCGACGACGTGTCTCAGTTCAGCGTCCACAACGGACGTTGGAGCCTGCAGCGAGCAATGTTGTTGGTGTTGGGCAACGCTGACACATCGGAGAACAGACACGAGTTTTTCTATTTCTTTTGATATCTTATTCTTAGCTTTTAGGTAGGCTACAACCTTGGAGTCGTCGCGTTTTCTTATGGCCATCTGAGCAGAGGAGTGCTCTTCCTTGAGAGCCATGACGGATGTTTGGAACATTCCGTAGGCGTCGACGAAGCGGAGGAAATCTTCTAGAAGGTTCTCGAGCCAAAGAGGGTGGCTTCGGAGGGATTCTAGAGTCTGAGGGAGGTTGAGGATGTCTTGAAGGGTCTCGTGGGTGTCCTTGAGGAGGGTCAAGCCTTGGGAGAGGGTCGTGGAAGTTTGTTGTTGGGCCTTGGAAGTGGAGGCCCACTTGGTGAGGTCGCTGATCTCGTCCTTGATCTCGGAGATCAGAGGGTGAGATCTGCAGGGAAGACTGATGGACCTGATGTGGTGGGATATGTGTGGTTTTTGTGATGGACGGTTCGGATTTTTGTTTGGGAAAGAGAGCGAGCGCCGGAAAACACCAACCATATCTATTTATATTTCAATTTTCTTCTCACTGATAAACGATGAGAAGATAGAAGTGTAGGAAGAATGTAGAGAGAAGTTTCGTGTATTTTGGCGAGCGTGAAGTGATTTCGTTTTAGTATTTATATAACGGATATCCTATGTTATGTAATACAATTATGAACGTTGTATAATCGTAGTTTCTTCAATCTTTCTACGCTTAGTCTCTGTAAATACACGTGCACACGAATGAAAAACATAGTCGCTGGACTTGTTTTCCACTGTCTGAGAAAAAAAAATTTAGCTTATTGTTTCTATGATATTCTTTGTTAGTGTTAGCAATAAAATAAATTAACATGAAAGGAACCATTCCAGCTTCTTCAATTTCTGTATGAAAATTTCGTCCTCTAAAATTCGATGCAATAAAAAAGGAACAAAAATTAAGACGTTGATTGGTTTCACTTGATTGACGCGGGAACACATGAGGCATATTATTCTAGTTGTATTTGTTTTTGAAGAAAGAAATATTTAGGTGGTTCATAAACATAGGTAAGTAGCTGTCACCAATACAAGTTGGTGCAGGATGATATACAGAACCGCGTGCGTCGGCGTGGTTTCTCCTGTAATGTCTGATATATGGATGAAATGGAATCTTGAATGATTCATAGCTTTGTTGTGATTCTGTAATATTTGTATTAATTGAAGGCGTGGGTTAGTTGTAATTACACAGATATTGCTATCATTGGAACTCCCAACCCAACTGATCTCAACACGCGTAGCCCAAGAAGATTATAAAGGAATTACTTCAGTATACGCCCGCTTTATGATTTCTAACAAGATTACGTGGAAATCAAGAGTCCTTCACAAATGTCGCCAAAACCCTTTTGTAACATCTAACGAGTTTTCTTTTCGGCTCACATAATTTGTTTCAGTTCTTTAAATTAATTTGTTGTTAGATTGCTGGACTCATTGGTGTGGTTGCACAATTGAAACTTCAATTTTTGGTCTGGGTTAAGGTTAAAAAAAAAATTAGTTAGTGTGAAATACCTGACAGTTTTTTAAACCATACTCATGGAATGAGATAGATAACGAGTTTCAATAATTTATGTTTTTTTTTTTAAGAACTTAAACTTTAATTATTGTGTTTTTTTCCCCTTTTTTCACTATATAGATATAGCATCTTACAATTTAAAAAATGGAAATAGATTTATTACATAATTTTTTTTAATCAAATATATCACACACAATCTTTGCAGATAATTATTAGGATTTAACTGGACGTCCTCATCTGCATGTTCTAAATATTCTATGTTAAAAATTCATATAATAGTTAAGACCACTTAGTATATTAATTGTTATTATTTACTATAAGATATATCAAATTTCATCCCTCCATTCTTGTTAATCAAATATTTATGTTGTTATAATATTTTACTCAGAATCGCATAACATTCTATAAATTAATAATCTTAAACAATATGTTTTTTTTAATATTAATAATTATCAATGATAATAAAATCGTAATAAACCATCTCTTGAACTATTTTAAAATATATATTACAATTTTTTCTTTACTTAAAAAAATTTATTAACTATTTTTATAAAATTTACTGCTGTTATTTTATTTTAGTAACTTTTTTAGTACTTAAGAAAAATGTGGAGATACACCTTGTATTCTTATTAGTAAATAATAATAATTTATTATCAGTTTTTGGGTGAGATACAAAGCCCAAAACAAAAAAATAGGCCCAGATAACCTCTAATCCCTATGAAATAGTTTTCTCTACCGTTCAATTTTATGGGCCTGGATAAAAAGTATGACCCAGAAAAAAATCAACAAAAAAGAAACAAGATATGTGAAATACCAGAACAAAATGTTATATATAGTGTTCTTTAGAGTAGGGAACACAAGGAAATTTTAATGGATAAATATTTAGTAAATATTTGTGTATAGAATAAATAATACAATTTATTGTGTAAGGTTTTATTATTTGAAATTTTTAAATAATTTCAAAGACTATTTTTGTTATCTATACATGAACATTTTACATTTTTCATGTTTAATATTTAAAATTAAAATGAGCATCAATAAAATTTTCTGAAATTATGAAATATTTTTAGAATCAAATTTTAACTTATTTATATATAATTTAATATGTAAAAAACATCTCTGGCTAATTCGGAATAGAAGGAAGAATAGTGTAGAATAATGGATTCGGAGGAGTAGAATTGAATTGATTGAGAGAAGATGGGTTACGTGGCATGGGTCTATGGTACCACGTGGATAAAAAGACACTTGTCCAACATACAAGGTGAAATGAAGATGTATGATTGTACATATAAGTGTAATTGTGAAAACTAGTAGGAAGTGTGTGAGGGTGAGGCGGTGAAAGAGCGTGGATGGAGAAAGAGAAAGAAGAGAAAAAATTAGGGGAGGGACCCCAAATCTCAAGAATGGATCCTGTGACGCAAGGTGCCTACGGTGGTGGAATGTACGGTACCGAGAAAGGGCAACCGGAGAAACGGACAAAGCCACCGGCTAGTGACAGTCAGAGTGCTGATGGCCCCGTTGATAACAACGCTATCAAGCCCAAACACAATCCTCCCCCTTCATCTGGGGACAGAGATTTAGATATCACCGGCCAATCTTATATCCAGTAACCATATATGCAAAATAGTGTAAATATATATGTAAATCAGTATAATTAATAATCAGGGTGTCGTTTTATCTTCTATGATTGTCGTTTCATGTTTTTGGTAATACATCCCTTATCTTGGTTTTCTTTTAGGCTTTTAGCAAACATTTTTATCCTTAATGGAGCTACATAAGCAGGAATTTTAGCTGCGTACTGATGTTGTAATACTGAATGAATGACCATATTGAAAACAAGTGCAAAATCAAGCAGGGATTTTTCACATAAAAAGAAAAATCATAACAAAATGTATAACTTTCGTTTCAACGACACTACCTATCCGAAGGAAGGGACCGGAAATAATTAATGGGCTTTCCTGAATAGTAGTCACAATTGCTATTTACATCCGCAGTTTTAGTAATATACTTCCTACTCAATTTTTTAAAATAGTTCGTTTTCCTGAAACTCCTTTCTAAATATGTTAAAATTTCAATTTTTAAAATTTTTTCAAAATAAATACATTCTGAAACATATTTTCAAAAAAAAATTTCAAGAAAAATATTGAGACTAGTTGTCTTAAAAAAAAAAACCTTTTACGTTATTTAAAATAATTCATGATAACGATGTTACAGTCTCCCAGATATATGTACTAATAAAACTTGGGTTGTGAATAGTTGACAGAGGATTAACAACTTCTCCATCAATATTTATAGAAAAAATTAAAAGAAAAATAAAATAAAATAAAATTGTATATAACTAGAAATAATTTATTCATAAACTAATTTATGAAAATTCTCAATATATATGATATGTATAAATAAATAAATAATTTTTATTTTTATTTATGACTTGCTTATAAATTAATTTTAACTAATAAAGAAGTCAATTTTATCATTTTATCTTATTTTTCTTTCGTTCTCTCTGAACTTTAGATTGGACAATAATACATACCGTAATTTTGATGCAATATATTTGTACACTCGATACTTGTCTATCACAACATCTTGGCAATTACATTTTTTGGCTGTAGCTAACTATTAAATCTAGCTAGATGCAGTTCTGCACATAAAGTTTTTTCAAAACCAAAACTAAAACAGAGCCACTAAAAAAATCGAAAGAACAAATTACTCTTCGTGCATCGTTGTCATGAGCAAAAGAGTCAGTTTGCCCTGTGCAACTGAAGAGGCATAGGTGGAGCCATGGTTCTTCTCTTCCACAGGTTAATTTCTTTGCGTGGCTTCAAATTAAGCACACCAACTCCACCACCAACCAAAATGGGTGCAGAAAAAGGGATCATAACCTCTTCCTCCTCTTCTTCATCATCACTACTCTCCACTCTGTAATCGTCCGAATAGTAATCAATTTCCGCTTCGTCTGGCGCCATCTGAGCCACCTTCCAATCAAAATTAGCAAGAGTGTCACGTCCACTTGAAAACTTTTTCATATGGTTCACGTGCGGTGCGCGTGCTGCGTCACCAAGAGCATTGTTCCTGTTGCTGATATCTCCAGGAGCAGAAGCGTTGGATTTCCTTCCCTCCGATTTTGGCTTCGCCGCGTGGAACAATAACATCTTCTGAAACGTGAAAGCGTGCTTCTTTACTTCTGTGTCTCTTGAAGCAGACGATGATTTATTGCTAGCAACGTTCCTCGTTTCTTTTGGCCTGGTGATCACGCTCTTATTCTTGGCTTGTTTTATCTTTTTCTTCTTGTGCTTGATCTGTCCCATGCAGGAGATTTTGGGTGAAGTGGGTTCCTGAGAATAAATCCCATCGATGCCATTTCTATTATGGGTTTTTCTTCTTGCTTCATGGGGTATCATGGACGCGATAGGTTTTGATTTGTGGTCCCTTCCAGGGCTGAATGGAGGGTTTTGAAATGTCACGGTGACCGCTGCAACTGCTTTTGGTAGTGCCTTCAAGATTTTGTTCCTAAACTTTAGTTGTTTCTCCATATCCACAGGTTGTGAAAGATGAGTAGAAGCTTGCAACACAGTTGGATTTTGATATTTGATATTCTGTGTGATTCAATCTGATGGACTCTATTTATATAGAAACTTGGATCGTTGAGGATGGATAAGGGTGGAACTGGTTATTAGTCTTATTTATTAATCTATTAATGATTGATTATGTCAATAAAGGTGGGAAATAGAGAAAGGGTTTGGTCAAAGGAGACCAGTAATGTATGTGACTGGGCAAATAAAAACAGCTGTTTTCTTCAAGCAATAAACTTAAGCTACATAACTTCAATGTTTATTATTATCAAGTTAGGAGATAAATACAAATTAGTAAGGTAAATAAATTGTTCATATTTTCCAAGTAAATTGGTCTGTCAAAATCTTATATTTAACATGGAACTGATTCTACTATTTTTTGAAATTAATGATATCAATATATTAATTTTGACAGTGTCACTTGTTAATATACCTTACATAATTAACTTAAATATTTATACATCAATATCTAATAATAAAATTAATTTTAAGATTAAATTATTATATTTATTAAATATTAAATAATAAGCACAGTACAATTTTTTTTAAAACATCAATTTAATTGCGGAATAATTTTAAAGATACTAAAAATGTATTTAACACTTACTAGTATAAACGTGTATTGCCTTGTATTGACCTTGGTACAACTTGCAGTAGATGTAGCGTCCTTTTCTTCGTCTAACAATAGATTTACTATGCTCAATTTTAAAAATAAATAATTATGTTTAACTAAAATAATTTTTATTTTATTGATATTTTTTCAATTAGTGGAGGTACAAAGAAATAATATTACACGTGTAATTTGGTTGGTATCGTTTGCATCCTTGATTTCGTCCTTTTCTGACTTGTTAAGTTTTGATCTAAATCATTGAACGGCGCTAGTGGATTTTGAATAAAAGAAGACAAAGTTTTCGTAAATTAAGACAACTAAAGCCACTATATAAACGTGGATTTTACAAGAAAATGTTTGACATCGGATTTTTTTATTATCGGTTGTTGACATTTGACACGCGTTTAAAATCTTCAATTAAGGTTAAGAAAGTTTTTGTATTTTTCAAATACTAATCAAATAAATATATTAATAGTTAAAAATAAAATAATAATAATAATAAAGTGTTATGCAGAAAGATACTTCCATCAGGAAAAAATACTACTCTTTAGAACGATAGATTAATTAGATTGTTCATTGGGTATTTTAAGAGTATTAGTTTTACTTAACCATGATTTTCAAATTCTTACTCTGTAAGTTAAGTCAAATTAAAATAAGCTCATTCAACTGTGTCATCTCACTCTTTTTCTGTTAAACTTTTGATATTTTTAGTCCGGATTAATTAATTAAGTCAAGTTGCTTTGGTAAACTTATTATTCCTTATTTTTATGTAAGGTAAATTTGTTTAAAGAAACAAAACTATCTCCTTTTCTTTTGATAAATTTACAAGCTTCAATCAAAACTTGTTCCTCACTTTCCAATGGACTTATTTCGAATTTTTAGTTTAACTTTCTTAATTTAATAAATGTATAGTTCACATTTGTTGTATTTTTTAGAGTACGCTTATGTTTTTATAAAAGAAAAGTGTTTATGTCCTATTGCTTGACTTGACTTATTTTCGAGCGTGTTTACATTTCAATAATTGAGCATTTCTCAAGTATACAATGATGACATACCTAATTGAGCACGTGCGTGTAAATCAACACGTGCGAGTAATGGTTTTCCACGTTGTTTCTTTGTGGAAGTCTACTATCTATGACAGTGGGAATGCTTTCCGTTTCAAATATATAATCAGAGATAAGTAGTTTAACAAATAATATTTTGAATGGGAAAGAAGTCTTTAAATTTTTTATTTGTAAGTCATACGAGTTTTGTGCAATTTTTTTTGAAATAATCAGAATAACTAAAATCTTAATTGAACAGAGATGAAAAAAAGAAAAAGATAAGTTTGTAAAGGGTTTAAATATGCTTCAAATCTCTTCGTTCTCATTTTTTCTTTAATTTTTGTGATGGTCATTTTTATCATATGGTTTGGTGAAATAAACCATCATCCAATATAAGATGACAAGGGTGAAGCAGTTTATTGTCAAATGAAAACAATTTTCTTAGTCCTGATTGCTGTTTTACCTAATATTGTCGAAATTTGGATTTTTTTTTTCAAATTTGATCTCATTATTTATTTATGAGATTTGAATCTATTCACAAACACCTAATATTCAACAATGATGTCACACTGCAGTACAATGTAAGGTGGCAGTATTTTCATTAAGATATCAAAATAACAATCACAAAAATTCCACCCTTAAAACAATTAGAAAACTAACAATACAATTCACCTTTGTTAATATATATATATATTAAAAAAAATAAAAAATTCCATCCAAGATCTCAATCAACCACCATTTTACACTAGGATACATAAAATAGCAATCAGAGGCTAGAGCATGTAAATTAAAAAGAATAAAGCACACTGATTATGGGTAATTGAAAAAACCCTGGTTTGGCCTCGCTTGTTGTAATTAATAAACAATTCCAACATTTGTATTTTCATATGTGGATTTTCTCATACTAACCTAAAAAATGTGAAGAATGAAGCTACTTCTACAAAGGGCGACTGACGAATCCCCTCGCAACCATCTTTTCCACCAACTCTTCATGCTTTTTCAATTGTCCAGCATTTCTGAGCAGCTCCAGAACCGTTTCATAAACTGACAGATTGGGTCTAAGGCATTTTTCTTCGACCATTTCCTTCATTAACTTGTAAGCATTGTTCCAGTGCTTCATTTCACAAAACATTGAAATCAAAATCCGGTAAGTGTTAACATTAGGTTCAACCTGATTCTCATCCATTTCCTTCTTCATTTTCAGAACCATATCAGTAGATCTCGACTCAGCAAACATCCTCATCAATATATTATAAGTCAACGTATTGGGCTGGCACTTCAGCTCCTTCATTCTAGCGTACATCCTATGTGCACCATTCACATCATGCAACTTAGCTATGCATCCAAAAACACAATTGAAAGTGGACGCATTAGGAGCAACCCCTTTCTTGACCATCAGATTGAGAACCTTCACAGCCTCATCAAGATTCTCATCCCTACAATGACTCTCAATGATGAAATTGTAGCTGATGGTATCTGCAGGACAACCAAGCCTCTTCATCTGATTGTGAACCTGCAAAACCTTCTCAGTCCTCCCAGCCTTCACATGAACCCGCATCAAACTATTGAAAGTAACAGCATTAGGATCACACCCTGAATCAATCATCTCGGCAAAAACATCATGTGCACGCGTAATTTGGCCGCACCGGCACAACGAATCAATCACAATGCTATAAGTATAAACATTAGGCTTAATCCCAGCCATCTTCATATCATTAAACACCTCTTCAGCTTTAGATATGTTACCAGCACGACACCACCCATAAACCAAACTAGTGAAAACTAAAACATCAGGCTCAAACTTATGCTTGAGACTATCAAAAAACGATTGAGCCTCATTCGCCCATCTTTTTTTACACAAGCTACTAATCACAATTGAAAAAGCAACCTTATCGGGGGTGCAGCCATAATCCTCCATACGGTTAAACGCGTGCACCGCCTCCGCAGGTAATCCGGCCCTCACGTAGCGGCGGACGAGGGCGGAGAACGTGTGAACGGTGATTTCGACGCCGCGAGCCTTCATGAGGTCGATGATGTGCCACGCGAGGTCGAAATGTCGCAGCTTTCCGGCGAGGTCGAGCATCTCGTTGTAGGGATCCGGCGAGGGGGGAAATCCGTCGAGCGCGGTGGCCCAATTGAAGAACGAAAGGGATTGGAGGAAGGGGATGCCGTGGCGGACGGCGGCACATTTCTCGATGACGCGGCGGGCGACGGCGGGGGAGAGTGAGTTAGAGGCGGAGAGGCCGTAGAAGTCGAGGGAGAGATCGGGGATGGTGAGGTTGGGACTGGGGGGAGGGGCGTTAGGGTTTGGCGTGGGATTTCTGCGGTGGTGGTCTTTGATGGCGGCGTGGAGTTTGTCGGCTAAGGTGGTTTCCTCGGGGGATAGGTTTGAAGTTTGGCATGTGTCGTTTGGATCAGGTTGGAGGAGTGGTTCGGGAACAGGCTCGGAAAGTGAAGCTGAAGAAGAGTGTAGTTTGAAAGTGCGGGGTAGGAGCGGTGAGAAGGAGTGGCGCAAGCGTGCGCTTGATTTGATGAAAGCCATGGATGGAGCTGTGTTTGGTGGAGTATTGATTGAGACACTAGGGTTTTGTTGAGTAACGCCGTTGCGCTGCTCGTTTCTCCGGTGAGTACTGAAAGTGACGGGACCCTTTATTGGTATGGCGCCGTACCTCGGGTTCCTCCGAGTTCACACACTGCACTCACTTACTAACGTTAATTGAGATAGAAGAAGAAAATAGTTGTGGACCAGGCCCAACACAATGCCACATTGGGCTAGGTTATCACAGTTTTTTTTTTTTTTTTTTTAATTTAACCTAATAAAATGAATTCTTTGGTTTTTTTGGTTAAATTCGTTCCTTTGTTATGTTATTCATATATGATTTTATGATCTTCGTTCTTCTCAAAAAATTTAATACAATCATATCACATTTATTCTAAAAAGTCCCAAATCTCTTAAAGATAAAATTTGTCCATTAAATAATTTATACGCATTTTAAAAAGTTTAAAACAAAAACTAACTTTAAAAATGTCCAATTAATTTGAACTATTTTCATATTATTTATTTATTTAACAGGAAGCAAATAATTAGATCTGACATTTATTTAAAAATTATTATATGTAATGGTTTATAGTAATACCCTGTCAAAGATGCGGTTCACCATATGATAATTGGCCAAATGAGCGAGACAAACTATCTTTTAAATTAAATATGTTTGGACGTTACTAAAGCGAAAACATACACGCCAACCTGGCGACAAGTCAACAACCTTTCTGCATCTTGAATTTACATTTTTATAGATTTTAATTTTTATTACAAAAAGAAACAGCGGAGGAGAAGATGCGGGGTTTTTAGAGAAAAACCGGGCAAATATTTTGGTGAGTAAAGAATATCTGCTGGAGTCAACGAAAACGTGACGACACCATTCTAAGGACTTGTTTGTTTAAGTACGACTGAGTAAATCGTACGTTCATTGATTAGGGTTTTGGAGCAGAATCCATTCACCGTCATTGCAAGCACATGGCGAAGGGAAAGCATGCGCATACCCGAGCGCAGGGGAAGAAGTGGTCCACGTTTTCGCTCTTTTTGTGGACACTTTTCTTCCTCACTCTTATCCTCGTCGTGCTTCTCGCTCTCGGCATTGTTTATCTTCCAACTACCGACGACGATTTTCCAACCGCGGATCTCACCGCTTTTAGGCGCAAGACCTCTCAAAGGTACTATAACGGTAAATTCGTTCTTCTCCGTTTGCTTTCGTTTTAGATGAAAATGTGTTTAATCGTAATTGTTGCTTTGCGAAGTGGTGAGAGTTTGGTGGAGAAACCGGAGCAGTGGACCGAAATTCTCTCCTGGGAGCCAAGAGCGTTTATCTATCACAATTTTCTGGTCAGTTTTCGTCATCTACTTATGGATCTGCTTCTTCTCGTTCTTTATTTTGTATTATTTTTGGAGATAGCTAGAAGTTACACGTCTGTGAGAACTTTAAACTTTTTCCGAAGCGACACGGCGTTCTTAGGTCGTACATTTTGTGTTGAACCGTTGAGATTGCGAATATTTCGTTCCTTCAATGTTTTTCTGGATGATTAAATTGTTCAAGTATAGAATAGAGTGATAACTCCATGATGCTGCGTCCGAATTAACTATCAAGGAAAATTGAGGAGTTCCAATTGAAATTTCTGTAAGCATTGGTTAGGCTCAGGGAGGACAATTATAACTGAGGTCTTCTGTATAGTTTGGGATAAAAGAAAATTCTGGTTTTCGTGAGTAATTTTCAGATTTTAGGTTAACCCAAACTTGCTGAAAGACACTAATGATTTGAGCGAGAGATTTTATTTTTACTACAGTGAATGCTTGTCGTTGCAAACTGTTGAAATTTATATTTTATTTAAATGTTAAATTTGCTTATCATGTGGAACAGTCGAAAGAAGAATGCGAGTACCTGATTGAACTTGCCAAACCTTACATGGTAAAATCTAGTGTTGTTGATAGTAAGACTGGGAAGAGTACAGAAAGCAGGTTTGACCTTATGTCTTGTGTTTTTGAATGGATACAATAATTGTGGATTGCAATTTTATACACATTTTTGTGAGACTAGTGACAATGCATTAATCTAGATATCCCCTGTTTGTAGGGTTCGAACTAGTTCAGGAATGTTTCTGAAGAGAGGAAAGGACAAAGTTGTCCAGAATATAGAGAAAAGAATTGCTGACTTTACCTTCATACCTGTAGGTATGAGTTTTATCTCTTTCCTATTATTCATTAATTTTGATTTATTTGCCGTATATGTTCCATAGCCTCACAAAAGGTGTAGGTATACTTATTGCTTGCATTTCACGTTTAGGAGAACCATAATTTTTTACATAAAAGCTCTTAAAATGATTTGCAGCTATAGTTTACCTAAAAATCATGATTATGTTAAGAGGACTTTTCTTGTATCTGGCAGCCTGGCCTGTTTTGCTACTTTTCCCCTTTCAGAATGGGGGTTAAGATTAGGGTGATAGATTCTATAGAATTCATGAAGTCGGGATTTTAGAGTTAGTTACAAAGTAGTTATGTAATTTGTTTGGTTGTTATAGCTTTATTTTACTAAGTAGAGCTAGGGCTTCACTTTAATTGTAAGAGTGATATATTAAGACGTGTTATATTAAGACGTGTTATTTGGGAACTGAGTTTTGTTGTAGAAAGTGAAAATACTCGGAGGAGAATTCTCTTCATTTCTTTGTTCCTTTCTGTCTTCAGATCTCTCTCTAAATTCCCATTTTGATTTTCTAGCTCCCTAAATTATTATAGCAATACTAATAAAATCTCAAAGAATGAAACTAGGATATTTCTTCTTTTGAAAATTTTATTTAGTTATGTCTTTCATGCTTGTTGTGGATAAACATGATAATATTGTGCAAAAAGGAAACTGTTCTGTTCATAGGGGATAGAGATAATATCCAGAACATTTTTATGATGTCATAATAAAGTTGTATCGGTACATTTATTTTTGTTATAATCAGAGATTCATGACTTGGGTGGTCCACGGTGAGAATGGAAACTCAGGATGTCCTGTCAGGGTTTGGACGCAAGACTCCATTGAACCCTATACTTGATGTCGCTGGGCAAACGCCCACTGTGTATTGATACATTATGCATATGTATATGTCAAAATATTTTATGTTTGCTAATAGCACTCTGGGCATGATTTGACTAGTTATTTCTCATTTATTATCGTTTAACTTTAAAATATTCAGAGAATGGAGAAGGACTTCAAATTCTTCACTACGAAGTAGGCCAAAAATACGAGCCTCACTATGATTACTTCCTTGATGAATTCAACACTAAGAATGGAGGCCAACGTATTGCTACAATTCTTATGTACCTGTAAGCTGTCATTCTCTTTCCAAATTATGTTATTGCATTGTGATTTCTAATGGATTTTGGACAGAAACATGATATTTCCCTTCGTTTTTTATTGCTTCATATGCAGTTCAGATGTTGAAGAAGGTGGTGAGACTGTATTTCCTGCTGCCAACGCAGATTTTAGCTCTGTGCCATGGTGGAATGATTTATCCCAATGTGCAAGAAAGGGTCTCTCCGTGAAACCAAAAATGGGTGATGCTCTGCTATTTTGGAGCATGAGGCCTGATGCCACACTAGATCCATCTAGTTTACATGGTTAGAAACTGTTCAAAATTGTCACCAAATGAGCTGTAAATACAGTCTGTTACTAGCATGTCAAGTTCACTTTTATCCATATTTTACCACATTCAATTATGAGCCATTTTTCTACATTTAGGTTCAGATTGATACAAGTATCTTCTACTGCTGTTTAATCTTATGCATGCTTGCGCTATTTCACCCTATGTGAAAATCTGTATAAATATATATTATGTATTATGAACCTTATGTGAAAATTATAATAAATATTCTTGCCACATTCCATACCTTTTTTTACCATTTACTTGTGGAAATTAAAGGCCACATGTCCCATGACACTTTGTTTTATTCTCACTATTTCTTTAGGTTCCGAGAAGGCAATGATGACTTGTAAAGCTAATTAAAATTTTATCTTGGCTTCCAGGTGGTTGCCCAGTGATTAAAGGAAATAAATGGTCCTCAACAAAGTGGTTGCATCTTCATGAGTACAAGGTTTGAGCATCGTTGCAGGTACTTCTAGAGACCAATTATGAGCCTATTGTTCTCTTCGAAAAAGTCGCATATAATCTAAAGATAACTTGCAGGTTATTCCTAAAATTTCCATTGTTCATGAATGCCATTTTCCTTGTCTCCAAAAATCAAATTCAAGATTTTAGCCTTTGTTTGAAAATACTATTTTGAAGTGACCATTTAATTCGGCTTCTGTCCGTACAATTATGTAAAGATGAAGTTAGATTTTTCACCCCCTATTCCCTTCGCCTTTTTCTAGACCGGACTTCCCAATTACCAAAAAAATAGCCCATGTGAGCTCAAACATTTCCCTATTTTGCTTCTCCAAACACAATTTTTAGCCTTGTTTTGCAAGCATCTTTCATCGTTCACACACTGAACACTGTAGCACCTTTCTGTGATTGTTGGATCGTTGTACCTCCTCTGTTGACACACTTATGTCAGATATCGTTGAGCGCCTGATGGTTTTATATTTGCAGAATTAACGTGGTACAGTGAGTATATCATCGGTATTTTGCAATGGAGAAACACAGGTTCAATGCATTCATATTAACCTCTTATGTGCCTAGGGATGTTTTCCTTTGCTCAGGTGCGGTAGTTTTCTTCTCATGTAGAATAAAACCATTTGGTTTCTCTTTCCCCGTGGATAGATAATTTGGCGTTGCCGAGGGAAAAAAGAATACTTAGTTTAATTATTCGAGTGATTATAACTTTTATAGTCTTATAGAGTTTTCAAAGGGAAGATGTCTCTAGGTAAGATGCTCTCTAGGGAGTGATGCCTTGAATACGGTAGAGATAAATTTGTTATTTAACATAGTGAAAGCATAGTATATTTTGGTCATAGAAAAGTTTTTTGTATAATCATATTCACAAACTTTAATCGTTACTACAGATTTTTTTTATTGTCAATTTTATTTTATGTTAAATTCTAGTTGATATATTGCTAAATTTCATTGTAGAATTTATTTTTTGTATTTGATTCCGGTTGATTCACTGGATTTCTCTGAATTATATGCTTCTTAAGGGTTTTAAGTTCTCGTGATTGCATCCTTTTCATACGATAGTTTGGTATTTACGTCAGAAAATAAAGGTAGAGTTGGGCTTAATAGGCCCGCCCACAGTATTGAGAACTTCCTTTAGCCGTTTTCATTCTTATCTGCGACAGAAAAAATGCTTATTAGGAACGGCAACCTGAAAAGGATAGCTCAAAAATTGAGGGACTACATTGAAAGCATTGTACCTCCTCTATTTCTTTTTAAGCATTGGTTAAGGTTTTTTTTGGAAAAAATAAGAAATGAAAAATTGACTATTAAATAGAAATAGAGAAGTACAAAGTCATTTCCTTATTAGCAAAGCATTAAAGACCTATGTGGGTAAATAAATAAACAAAGTCTTCTATGTACTAATTTTTACAATCAAAGGGCAAAGGTTAAACCACTTTAATACAATTTGTAAGATTTTTCGCAAGTTATTTACATTTAACTATGTTTTTTCAAACACTTACCATACATAAGTAAATTTTTAAAGATAAATTGTAAGGAAACTATTTCAAATGACATTAATACGAAGAGAAGGGCTTTTCAAGGTTAACATCAAAAAGTACTTACAAAGGTTAATATTATTATCTAATCAACTCTATAAATAATATATTTTAAAAAGAAAATATACTTAAAACATTCTTAATTTTTTTTTTCTTTTTCTTTTTTTCACAAGTCTTTTGTTCTTCTCTCTCATCTCCCATTAAAATTTAATAAAATATGTTTAAATAATTTTTTGCTTATTAATATTGTAGGGTGTGTTGACAAGGTGAATTCCTTTTGAATGCTTGTAATTTTACATTCATAAAGGTATATATTGACCAGTAGAAACACATTTTACTTCCTAGGGAAAACACTGGCAATGTATTTATAGATAAATTACTCTAACATAATATAATTAAAAAAAAAAGATATTCTTTATAAGAATACTTTTAAAAAAATATCGTACGAAGGAAAGAAAAGATTGAAAGAAAATACACTTTTATTTATACAATTATACAAAAGAAAATGCACTTTTGTTTATAATCATTTTTAGTGTCTATTTGTTTGGTATTAAGACTATTTTATCATATTAAAAAAAACATTATTCGATAATAATACAAATTGGGTTAATGCACAGCCTCTCCACTCAATGATTCTAAAGTCGACATACTCACGTTTGTGTCGACCCTAATAGTGGTACAAGATATACGGCTGTGGTAATTATAATAATAATAATAATAGGAATGGAAGTGAGTCGTGATAATAACAAATATAATAACGATAAAATAGTAATGACGACTACGATAACAAGGTTGTAGTATTTGACATAAGTATTTTGGTACCACTATTCATTTCATACATCCAATTTACAATTCACTATAATAATATAATAAAGGTTTTATTAATATTATATTATTAAAATTGAATGTTTGTAGGGTGAGAGTATCAACTTATCATTTTTCTATGATTTAATGGCGAAGTAGAGATACCCTCTCTAACTTTGTTGTTCAGTCTATCTAACTTATTTTATTGCTTTTAAACAATTTAAAAAAAGAAAAGAAAAGTCAAACAAAAAAAAAGAGCGAAGAATTATAGAAGTACTATTAGTATTATGTAAAGTTAGATAGATGCACAGATATAGAATTGTATCTAATAATAGTCTCTAGTCTACATATATGAAAAAAAGTATAGCTATGTAATTTGACAAGTCGAAACTGCTTACGAAATATGAATGCAGGCCGCTCGTCATAAATTTGAACGCTTTGAGAGAGAAACCCTCTCACTACCAATTCTACGAAGCTGGCTCAAAATCTCATCGAAGTCTGCAGGGGGTTCACATGAAAAGTGCACCTGCTCCCCTGTATGGGGATGCTGAAACCTACATAAACAAAGGAATATCCGCAAAACCTTAACAAGTTTGTTTATGCAAAGAGATAAGAAGCAAGATTCAACACGTTAATAGGTTCTATCGTCTCACCCGAGCGTCAAAGCATGAAGGCAAGGCCTACCTAGTCTTGAAACCAACTGTACAATTTTGCCATGCAAACTGATGGGAGTTCGCGGCCTAAGCAGTGACAAGACCATGTTTTTTGTCCCTCCATACACCTCATCACCCACTAAAGGAACTCCCAAATACTTCGCATGTGCACGGATCTACAAAAAAAATTATGGATTTTTTTGAGAGGTAAATTATTAGCAAGTTCTAGTGGAATAGTAATCTTCAAAAAAGTTAGATGTGATCTGAGATTTTTCTTCTTCAAAAATATTGGTATCTATCTTCATACAAAATATAGGCTTTGTACAAGGAAGAAAGAAAGGACAGCTAAGCTCTACGTAAAGTTACACCAGCAAAATCTGCAAAAAAATGTGAAAGACCCAGTAATGACACCTCCAGATCTCCCAAGCTGTCACTTCAGAAGGAATTCTGCAAACCTTCTATTAAGAACATGGGAAACAGATATATGGCCATCCAAAAACGAAGCATACTATTGAGTCCAAATTACAATTACAAATTACCAGTTACAATATAAACTAATATAAAATCTTAGATATCTTCTGTCCAAGTTTACACACAAAACAAACTCTCCTTTTTGTTTTAAAAGACAAATTCCCATGCAGAAAATTCATGTGTTTTAGATGATAGTGTGTAATGTCTCTCGTCTAAAGACTGTTGTGTAATCCAAGTATGATTCTAAGTCTCACATTAAATAAGAATGAAAAAATTGAATAACATAAGAAAGTAAAACCCATAATCTAATACCTTCCTAATACTTTAAGGTTTTGGATTGAGAGTAATGCTAATTCTTATGTAGTTTGAACTCATGTCTTACTGGTATATTTCTTCCTTATAAATCTCATCTCGAAAGACCAAACAAGTAATATCAGAGCTTAGTTTTTTTTTTTCATGCGAGTGAGAGTAATGGTAGAAGACGAGAAAGTGAAAATTGACAAGTTCGATAAAAGCGATTTCGAATGTTAGAAAATGCAGATTATAGATTATCATCAGAAAGAAGACATACTAATGCAGATTAAGGATTAACACCACTCTCAACCAAAAACCTTAAGGCATTAAATTATGTGTCTTACTTCCTTATATATTGCTCAAACTTCTCATTCTTACTCAATGTGAGATTTAGAATCACTCTTGGATTATCCAACGCTAACTGTAAAAGTTGACTGAAAGTTATTTTGGGCAAACACATGGATTCAAACTAGGTAAACTAGTGTTGAATTAACCAGCTCATCAGGAAATAAAATGCAATTTACCCATAAATTATACTAGGTAAGGTACCCTGCATCATTTTACAAAGTTATGTTTCTTGAAGTACCTGATGAGTGCGTCCAGTTTCCAATTTCCACTCAACCAATGAACAACTTCCCCCAGCCAGTATCTCAATTACTTTGTACCTGACAGATGGAAAATAATAAACTTTTAAATGAATACGAGAACTTGGTGTAGCGCTTGCTAAGTTGCTATGAAATCACAAATATACCTGTCCTCATGGGCATCCCGCCATAAGGAAGAAAGCAAAACTAATATAATGATGAACCAATTAAATGGATCACACAAAGTAGGATATTCCATTATTTTAGTTTTGATAATTTTTTAAGAGAAAACCCCAAGGATCAAATATCTTCTTGATAACAATTGCTAGTCACATAAGTTAAACTAATTCCACCAGAAATTTAACAGGCAAGATAGCATGGACTAAATGATAAAAAAAAATGAATATGTCATGTGTACATACACACTTTGAATATTACAATTTATGTAAATATTTTAATTAATATGTTCCAAATTTCACAATAGTCAAATATGATCAAAAGCAACAAATATAGTGTATATTACTTAGTAAATAACCAAATATAAATGAAGTGTAAAAGGACCATAAATCACCTACTAGCAGCATGACGGGCCTTTCTAGAATTAACTGGTCCAGTTACAGCAGTCATACGCAGCCGGTTATTAAGATCACGGCCAACTGGAACCTCAACACGCCCAGCAACTGGAGTGGGTACCCCAGCAGTGAGACTAACATAAACCCTCTTGATGGTTCGTTGCTTGAATTGCTCAGATAATTTCAAATGTGAATGCTCATCCTGATAGCAAAGCATACAATTAGCAGGAACAAAACCAAACATCAATCTTTCAAAGAATAAACAAGAACTTTCTTTCTGTACTAAAGTTGGGTGCTAATGCAAGGTTTTTGGAAAGTGCAAGAAACACCTTTGCAACAACAAGTAGCCCACTTGTGCCTTTGTCCAATCTGTGTACAATCCCTGGGCGAATTGATGCCATAGACAATCTAGAATGTGATTCATCACAAGAACTTGCCATGGAGCCATAGCTATTCAACTCATCATCAGAATATTCTGTATCTGAAAGAACTTCCTCTTTAAAAAATTCAACATTTGGAAGGTTGCAATGGTGAAGAATGCCATTGACAAGTGTCCCAGACGTATTTCCAGGAGCTGGATGCACAACCTAGGTAGTAGACCATAAAATGATATTGGCAATTTCAGTATTAGCTGCTAATAACAATGCCTTGTGAATATTTCATACATGATTAGAAATTGGACTTAAAAAGATAGATAAATTCACAAAATCTTACAAGTCAGGTTCGGAATTACCATGTGTGCAGGTTTATTTATGACTAGAACATGCTCATCTTCATAAACTATATCCAAAGGTATATTTTCTGGCACAGCCCTCAACTTCTGCAACTCTGCGATTGTGCATCTGATCTGATCCCCAGCTTTGACATTGAAAGAAGCCTGCTCAAACATCATCAATTAAACGATGTCACTGATCCGTGCATGCTCAAAACAATTAAAAGAGGAAGGGTGGACAATGTTTAAAGCTATCAAGGGATAATAAAGGAACCCAGTTATTTAACAGAAAAAAATAATGATTACTTAATCAATAATTGTCATCCCCACAATTCACCAAAGTATATTGCTCGGGTTGGTGCTTGATGTTTGAGAATTATCTTGGAATCTTTTGAATGTCATGTGAAACACATAAATCATTTATACAGCCCTTTGTCAACAGATTCGGAAACAGCTTCCATTAGGCCGAATATTTGACATTACTAACAGCTTAATAAGGATGGTAATAAAATTAGAATTCAAAGGATATCGACAAAAAATATTCATGATAGATAGGAAAATTGTCTGCTAAATGAATTTCGATCCGGATATGAAATGATCCCCACAAAATATTAAGGAAATGGATTAACGAGTACTTTAATACCTAGATTTATCATTTGATAATATATTAATCCAAAATTAAAAAAAAAAAAATACTATACTTGCGCAATAATACAAATAAGTTGATGATTGATCACAATTCTTAGAGATTGTACACTTCTCATTTCAAAACACCAATCCTATTGCCCTAATTATGTTGTCCAATGTTCTTGTGGCCTCGTCTTCATCTTCAGGAGTAGCATGACGTAACATTTTTAGTTGATGATACGTTTTGTCAGTATTTCACATCTAACTTTAGTACTAAAATAGCCTTTCTATTTTATTAGTTTGGCAAAAATAGAGTACATTAAAAGGAAAATATATTTCATTCAACTAACAGGCAGATAATGAGTGTGAATATGGGTATAAAAGTGTACATAGGTAAAAGGATGGACTCTAAAGTTTCTATATGTGCAGGTATGGATTCACGGATGGCTCTTTCTCCTAACGATGGGATTGGAGTATAGTACCCAGTCCAAACTCTACTCGTTGTGATACCAACGTAAGAGTCCTCCTAAGTAATGGTGATTTCTATAAGTCTCCGATAGCAGCAAAGCAAACCAGCATTACGGATTTATTTTCAATTTCAACTAGGCTATGATTACCAAAAGGGACCGCCTCCAATATCAGAGCAATATGTAAATAGTGGCAACTAGAATATATTCTAAAATTTAAACACGTAGCACATTTTGTATACATGAATAAACCACACATAAACAGTGTATCTTTCAGAATTGAAATATGCAGACTAATATCATTGCAGAAGTTGTCATTCAAATTAACTTTGAAATTATTTTAAAGAGAAACCATGCACACTTACGCACACAAACCAAGTTGGTTATGTATGCGTAATTGCAATTTTTCGCTGTACTGTACAAAACGATAACGAACGTTACAACAGATCTGAAACTAATGCATGAACGCGCCTCTGAGATTACCTTATCGACGACGCGGCCATTTACGAGTACGAGTCCCGATTTGATACTTGATTGAACGCGTGCTCTACTAATTCCACTGATGCGGGAAGAGATCCAATTATCGAGTCTGAGTTTTCCAGATCCTATTCCGCTATCGACAGCCTCTTCCAACCGCACACCAGAGAAGTTCAATTTTCGCTCTCCATCGAAGTCTGAGTCGCCGGTGAAACCAGAACCAATGCTCGCTACGGCAGAACGAAATTTATAGCTCGTAGCTGAGAGAAAGAGTGCAGAAGGAGGTGAGCTTCGGAATTGGAAATGAAACGCTCTGGATGTTGAAACGCGGCAACATCCACATGAGTGAAACGATAGCATCCCTATTCGATTCATACTTCACTTTTCCGTTGAAGGGGTGGATAAAAACTGTGACGGAAAAGCTGAAACGACGACGTGTTACTTGAGTTGGGCCTAAGTCCAAAAGGAGAAAAATAAGCAGAGCCTTGGTACACTGTAGTGTAAGAGAGGAGGTAATAATTAAAGATTTCAACAATATAAACGTGACTTCAACACTTCAAACATTAAATTAATTCCTTAAGTATAATAAATTATTGATGACGTGACACAGTTACATTCTCAGACTTCTATCACCAAATTAATATATGACGGAAATTGGGATGGTAATTAAACTCCTAAGGGATCGAATCATTTCCGTCCTTACTTTTACAGGGAAAACACGAGTTGACAGGGGATACGTCGGGTTTGGGTTTTTCCACTTTAAAAAGTTGGAGGTGGGGCGAAGATGAATAATGTAATTCCCACCTCGACCTTGTCCCCACTCTTACTTTATATTTAAATTTAAATTTTAAAATATTAATATTTTAAAATTATTTCATTTTTTTTCTATTACATATAAGGTTATTTTTTTATATTTCACCAATTTTTATTTTTCTTCTATCTACCTTTTAATTTTTTTTATCTTTTTCAATCTTTTATATTAATTAATTTATTATATTATTCTTTCTCTTATCTTTCAGTTTTTCACATTTCCTTAATCTCTCCCATCAATTTGTTTTTTTTTTCAATCTTTTCAACCAATTTGATAAACACAAAGTTATTTTTTTTCTTTATATTTTTTCTAAATATTTTACATAAATCTTAGTAATAACTAATATTAGTTTATTTATAATTTATATTTATTATATTTTATTATGTCATATTTTTTATCTTATTATGCTTATTTATCATATATCAAATTTTATCTTAATAAAATAATTATATTTTAAACGATTAGAATGAATTAATAATTTAAACTTTTATTACTTCAAACTAATTAAATAAGAATTAACTTATTAAATATTTCCTTATAAACTATATATTTCATATTTTTAATGACAACTTAAAAATGAATTAACTTACATATATAATCAAATATTTAAATACAGTATTATAATAATAATGTTATAAATATTCAAATATTTGAATACAGGATTATAATAATAATAATAATAATAATAATAATAATGTTATAAATATTAGATATATATATATATAAATAAAAAATGATTAAATATTTCTTTTACATATATATTTTAATATAAATATAATAAATTAAAATGTATATTTAATTAATAATAATTATAAATTATAAATATTTATTTATATATAAAAATACATAATAAAATTAATTTATTATAAATGTAATTATCTTTTTAAAAATAATATAAATCGAGGGACAGGGCGAGGGCGGGAACACGAAAACCAACGGAGACTGGGATGGAGACTTAATTTCTACCTCCGACGGAGATCGGGGCGGGACGAGGATGGTTAAAAAGTCGGGGCGGGGATCGGGAGGCAAAATCCGGCCCCGCCCGTTGCCATGCCTAGACCGAAACCTAAAAAATGTTTTAAAGTTTTTTGTTTCTTTTAAATTGTAAACAAACATGAACAAACCTAATTTTCTTAAATTTCTAAGAAATAATTATTATATTATTTCATAGCCGAATTACTTATTTTTAATATTAAAAAAATTATTCCTAATTTATTAGGTCACGACAGCAAAGAGTGATACACTTCTTGAGGAATATTTCCTTTTTAATACAATCATTCATATTCAAGTTCTTTAGAAGTTTAACACATTGTTATAAATAAAATAGAATGCCTTAAGAGAACCATTAAATAACATTATATTTTGAACTTGATTATAAATAAATTTAACAAATGTTATTACATTAATAAAAAAAACTAATTAATAGCGTTTAACTTTATAATTTATTTTTTTAGAATAAAAAATATAATCATTAAACATAAAATCTCAACTAATTATAGAGTATTTTTGGAATACTCCCTCCATTTTTCAGTTAATTAGCGATTAATGATACGCATAAATACAACAAAAATAGTTAAAAAAAAATTGTAGGGAGAGAATTAATAATCTTCACTTTCTATTTGGTAGAACCTCTACACCACAAAGATACCGAACAAGTAACACCTTCTAATGATCCTATGGAGAACAAATAGTTAATTCCTCAAATTCATAAACGTCTTAATTATTTAGAACAAGGAATAACTATTTTCCGCTGAAAATCAAACTTCAAACCTAAAAATTCAGATAACGTTCGTTACTATGTTGATAAAACTTCCACTTATTATATATCGATCGAAGTATCTTCTTTCCCTTTCATCACTGTCATTTTCTTTGAGTCACATATATTCCCAGAAAGTGGAAAGCCCCGATGGAGCTATGTAGTCGAATCTAATTAACTCTAAAGGGCAGTATTCCAGCCCCTTCCCTGTTGCAGATTAGGATATTATATTTGTAAATATATATATATATATAGCCAACTCAAGTTTTCGCCATCTTTGGCCGCGAACACAGGACATTGAATTAATTGCCACAGCAAGTTAATTAGTTATTAACACACTGTTGTCACGGTCCACAGTTCTGACGCACTTGGGGTGCACTTCATATCCACATTGGAGACACTGGTAAGCCCAACTAGACCCTTGTTCATCGCACACACAGCAGATAAAGGGTCCTCCACCGTTCCCATCTGACACCAAATTCAGGTCATGTCGATGCCCTTCATGATACACCAACGCTGGAAGATCCTTCGCCTCTTCCTCCAGCTGTTTCTCCAGCTCCTCCACTTTGGCGCTCGTGAAAGGGTAAGCGCTCTCTTGGTACAAGTTGATCAAGCTCCTACCATGCACTGTTATTGTTTTACCATCAGGACCTATAATCACCAACCAAGGAATCCCTTGAACGTTGAAGTGGCGAACGAGGTTCTTGATCTCGGAGTCACCGAAAGGCAAGGCTAACCAAGGCATGCTGCTGTAGTAGGAGTCAAAGGATGCTTTGTCACGGTCGCTGGATACCAGCACAACTTCGAAGTCTTCCTCTCCCTTCTCGGCTAGCTCGTGCTTAATTTTCTCGTAAACGGAAATGAGTTTGGGAGTGAACTTGGCGCATGGGACGCACCATTCCGCGGAAAAGTAGAGTGCAATTGTTTTTCCCACCAGAGAAGCAACAGGTACCTGCGTACAGAACCAACACCCGTCACGCGGAACAGTTCTCTGCATGCAGTTCAAATAACAAAAACTGCGTGCATGTGCACCACAAATTCTATTCCTATTCGTGGACTCTACAACTTTTTTTTTTTTTTCTATAACCACGTAACCACAGAGAGAAGTGAGAAGGAAGATAAGTACAATGAGACAATAAAAAAAATGATGAAGTTTCCGAATTTATCACAAGTAAAAATCAGATTAAATAATGTCATTAAAGCTTGTTGATACATATGGCTTCAAGAAAGTTGATTATATTGCAAACTGAATTATTGAATCTATTTTAGGCAATCCCATTAAAACTATATTATAGTAATATTTTTTTATTAATAAATGGAAGAGTATTGACCTGAAGATTAATATTGAAAAAAAAAACTTCCAAAAAAAAATTCAGTATTGTAAATTTCTATTTTTTAAAATACATCTTTACAATCTCTAGTGTAGAGGCTTGAGCTAATTGACTTTAAGATAGAGAAAAAACTAGAACATATATTACTTTGTATAATTGATTTGAACATTTAATGGGTATTTACAACCCTATTAAGTTATAAAATTAACAATATGGCAAATAATATTTCACAATCATTAAAATTATATTTTATCTTGTACATTACAAGAATAAATATTTTTTTATTAAATTAAAATTGATTAAATGGATTTTTAAATAAGAAATATATTTTATAATTAAAAGGAATGATAAATAAACATCGTAAAATATTTAAATTTTATTAGATTCATAATAAAGTTATATTATATAATTATTTACAAAAATAAAACAAGTTTTAAATAATTTTTAAAATTTAATTTAATTAAAAAAAAAAAGATAAAATATGACAGATTTAATGACATTATAATGCTGAGTTGAGAGTGTGTAATGAATTGTGAGAGAAAGGAGATTCCAATTTATAATAGAGCAGAAGATAATTAATTAAGAAAAAGTGGAAAACAGTAGCATGCATGAAACTTGGAAGCGAGTGAGAAAAAGGTGTTGGTGGTAGAGTGTATTACCTGTTTCAGCCCAGAGTGAGAGTGACTCAAAACATAGTCTCTATGTTGGTTTGCTAGTAAATTAAGGAGGGTCTGGTTTTCACGCTTCACTTTATCTTCCTTACGCAGTTGTTCCAACCTCTGGTTACAGAAGGGATAAGCTTGGACTCCATAACGGTAAATAAGTTCAACTCCATCACGAACTGTTGCCGCATCTTTACCATCCTCTGGTTGCAGCAAAATCAAGCATGGAATGCCTTCCACCTCATACTTTCTGGTCAAGGATTTCTTTGTTTCCAAATCAGAGAACGGAATCGCTAGCCACGGCATGTTTCCATAGAAGTTATTAAAGGCGTCCAAGTCCTCGTCAGAGGACACATACACAATCTCAAATTGGGGAACACGGCTTTTCAACTCCTCGTAGATTCCAACTAGGACTTGGGTGAATCCGCGGCATGGTGGGTACCAATTGGCAGCGAATAACAGACCCACTACTTTCCCTTCAAGACCAGAAACTTTCACCTAATGCACCATTTTCAACAACTCCAACTTACCAAATAGTTACTATCATTGTAAGAGCTTAACGTAATCGGTTATTTTAAAATTTATGTTCAAAATATTTGACACAGACTAATAAGTCTAATCTTATATATGATATACAATAAATACATAAACATAATAATAACGTAGAATCGTATATTTAAGTGTTTGATCACATAGTCCAGTGAACAAGGGAGAGCAGTGGAAACTTCAGAAGGTAACTCACAAGTTATGAGGATATCTTTATCTTGATCTCAAAGATAATATTTTCAATTCTATCTTCACCGAAATATCTTCAACTCACTCTTAACCAAAATTTCAAAAAAAGTAACGGACATTTTCATTTTGGTCTGGACAAAGTTATCCTTAACTTGACCTTAGCTAAAGTATCCTCCGCACAATCTAAATCAAAACATTTTTAGTCTAAGCTTCAGTCAATTTTTAAGGCAAAGACCCAAGAATTATCCCTGACCCACGTGGTCATGTAAACTCTTTTGACTCTAGTCCACATAAGCTGAGAGCACGTGGAGTAAATATCCAATTTGACGGCTATTTTCGATGATATCTCAAATAAAGTCTCTCTCTAGCTATCTCAAGAGCAATATCAGGAAAAAAGTATTTTTTAAGTAAATCGAAAAGCCAACTTCTTATAATCAAAAACACTTTTGAAAAGAACTTCAGTCTAACACCTAAAGCGGGCCATAACCAAATAAGGCTCGCACGAAAATTCTTAAGAAAGAAAAAAGGACATCACGTGGATACGTGTTCGTACGTGTCGCTGGCACACCAGAGTCTAAGGCCATGTCAAACACCGTACGAATGCCTTCCAGCGATGACCATGTGTCTGGGGTGTGAGATGTCAAATTACAAAGTGGGACAAGGGAAAAAAAAGATATACATGAACGTGTTTCTGGATTAATCACAAGGGAAAGGTTAACAACGCATTTCTATTAACACATTCCTTGAAGTACTTTCTATTATGTAATTAGTGTGATCTTAATAAGCATTCATATACAGTTGAACAAGTTGAATAAACACCGACAGAGGAGTACCGAGTACATAATGATATAACGGCAAGGGTACATAACAACAGAAACAGAATCCAGTGCTATCCGAAATTATGAAAGAGACGGGCCACCGAGATGGCCCACGGTTTTATTTTTTTTGTAAGGGATAACGGGCCACGTGTATAACGCAAAGCGTAATAGGTAGGACTACGCTACAGGAACCGTTTTGGCTGACACATGTCCTTCGATTCCAATCCTTGGTCATCCATGACGCACTGATAGGGACTACATATATTGGGCATGTCACATGTGTAGGTCGTGAATGCTTTGCATCTATTATCCAACTAACTAATCGAACAACTCCACAGCTAACAAGAATATCATCACCATTCATTTCTAATTTCATTCTCCATTCTTAAACAAACCAAATCGGGTTGAACAATCAGCAGCTGTCTAAATATATTTAACAGAATGCTGGGACGTAAACCACCTTTCTTAGTTAACCCCCCAAAAAAATGAAAGCAATTATTTGTCGGTATACGATAATATGAGGTGGTTCACGATTCCTTAGTAGAGCAACTCCAAAGACAGTTAACCTTAACTTTAAAGAACGGTATCTTAAGCAACAGTTGTTTACTCAAGTAACAGTTCCTTATCATAGAATGAAACCCACTTAGATAGGTATTACAACGCTCCATTGACAATGTCTTTACCTTTACGATTAAAGAAATTTTCCATAGTTTTTTTTTTTCACTTCAAATTTTGGGAGCGAGGAGTCTTAATTTTTGTAGTTCATATAAAGAGCAGATTTTTTTCCTCCATAAATCACTCTCTCTTTGGTAGAGTGATACTGATAAAGATGCTACGGTTCATCGGAATCGTAAACTTGGTTTGTTGGGGATGGTGGCATGAAATTAAAGGGTAAATGAATAGACCACTACGGCATTAATATTCAAAAGCAAATAGAGGACACGCTCCATTAGACAGCACAAACAAACTTGCTTCTCTCACAGGTTATTTATTTATACCCATCTCGCTAGCTGACCCGTTTATTTGGGCGGGTAAGGACTCAAACGGGTCCGGTTCTTTGTTACCGTTAATGGTTGAAGGTCATGGGAAATGGATTATCCATCCGATTCATATTTAAAGAAAAAGAAGTATATAACATATTCTGCATGCAAGTTTACAGCTAACCAGAGAGATCATAACTGACGAAAGCTAGTTTTTTTAAAATCGAGAAGTTGCACACTTTAATTAAGATTATTGCTTAATTGTTTTTAAACCCTAGAACTTAATTTTTGTGGTGGAAGAAAAGCTCTTCTACAGCTAATTAAGTCCAATCTTCTTCATAATTTTGGTGTTGCAAATGCTTCTAATTATTATGATATATATAAACGTCTAAATAGATAAATGTAGATACATTTCACCAATTAAAATCTCTACTAGAAAACAACGGACATAGTGCTGGGTGGGTCTTCACAAATAGCAAGCTTGGGTTAAATATAACAATTGTTTTAAAATCCATGAATGAAGAATATTTAGAGATATAAGAGTAATTAAAAAAACATTTGTTTGCTGTTAGTTATAAACGCGATTTTGAACAGAAATAATAGACACACCCGCGACCGGCTTCTGCGGCAGCAACCCACCAAACAGTTTTATTTTTTAAAATAAACAATTCCGAAAAAATTGCAAGACTAACTCCTGACCCCAGAGAAGCCACAGTGAAGAGCTTCAAGTAAAGGAAACTGAAGAAGAATTAAACAAACTACGGTTTACATAATCATATATAAAACCGTAAATTTTTATTCTCGGGTATTTAATCATTAAATTATGTTGTTTTTCACGGCGACGTACAAAAGTTGGAGGGCCAGGAGAAAGTCTGTGAAGATGTATAAAGCACACAGATATAAAATCATATCAAGATCAAGATAATAATATAAAGGACGAAAACTGAGCAGTGACCACCATCTCAGCCAAAAGTCGAACCAAACGATACAAGAATAATAATCGTAGGAGCATACTCTATATTCTTTTTTGTTTATACATAGTATATACTGCTTATCTTCAGCTATTACTCTCAGAATAATTAACTCTGACAAAAACTAGTGAGTTATGAGAGAGATAGAGAACCTGAGCCCCGGTTGGAGAGAGAAGATAATCACGATCTCCGGAAGCAAGGAGTTGTGAGAATTTCCCAAGGTTACCAGTATCATTCACCAGAGCTTGAGTTTCATCCTTCATCTCCGTTCTCATCACTTTCTCTCTCTATCTTTTTCTTTCTTTTATATTATGTAGCAGTCTAGAGATGAAAGCACCGCGAGAAGAGAATGAGCCTCCTCATACACCCGACACTTATATTCATTAGAAATAGAATCATATTCTTTCCACATCATTACATCCTATGCATCCACAAATCACACATCAACACCTTCACACGTAGCATTCATCCGCGCCCAGGGATAACACCAGCCTACTCCGCACACACATGGGGAATGATGGTGCCGCCTATTTTATTGCGCGATCTCATCCATGTGCGGTGAACTGAGTGAAGCGAGCAAAAAAATGCCACGTGTAGGGTGGTGATTTCCGAATGGGGGTTATTATTAGTTGCTATGTCTTGTGGCAACGGTGATATGTAAGGTCCGTGTTGTCATAAAAGACTTTTGAATTTTGAATAAATTGATGATGCCGAATACGGCAAAACTCTTCTTCCGACACCTGTCACTCTTTAATTTCCTTTCTTTACTTTTTCATCCCATTCCTCTTTCTGCTAAAGCTTCATTACTCTAGCCTTCCCATGCCTAGTAGTTTGTAACGTCTATGATCACATTTTACATTGCATAACATAACTATGTTTAACTATAACTTTTATTTAATTTTTAAAATATAATAATATTTTTAAAAGATTAAAACCTTCTTGAAATTATTTTTGACTATGTTTCTTATAAAAACATATTTATATGATGGTGAAAATCTTTTTTAAAATAAAAATATAAAAATATATTAAAAAGTATCATGTTATTTTAATCTAAGTAAATTTGATTTTACAATAAGTTAAATATTCTGCTAGAAATAATATACTATATTTTGATCTCTAAAAAACTAATCTAATTTTTTTCATCAGTCAAACGAATTTTAATTATTGTTACAAAAATATAATTTTCAAGATTAATAATTATTAAATATGAAAAATTTTATTTTCTATCACATCTTAACATTACAGAATGAAATGAAAGAGAAGATATTGAAAAATTTTTGGATATCATAATATTAACGTGATATTACCGTGCATGTTTTATTTCCTTAAAACAAGTGAAAAGGAGGAGAAAGATATATGTTGATGCATGTTAATTTTTTTTTTTTCTAAAATTATATTCACAATCATAGCATTAAATTCTAACTTAATTTTATTTTGGAAAGTGAAATTATATTTGTAATAATTCTTTATACATATATTAAATATTTGATGCGTTTATCGTTAGTTTCTATTTTATAATTAAATTTATTTATTTTTTCAAATAATTTAGTCTGTACACCTATTATTTAGGGATATGATCTCATATATTTAGGAAATAACCCGCCACTTCATGCGGTAAGTTAGTGGGTGCAGAGTTTACTTTTTTAGTCTGGTTGTAAGGCTATAAGGCTTGGAGTCTGCATTCGAATTCAATAATATGAGACTCCACTAAATAGAAAAAGAAACCTTACATTATTTGTTCACAATTGGTAAGAGCTCCTTCGTAAAGCCTCATCCAACATTTTATCGAAGTGTGAGCGGGAAACAGTTTATCAAGTTTGAGAGAGAAACAATTGTGAGTCTATGAGTGCACCAATGAGTGAGTGTGACCAGCTGTTCTCTTTATAGAAAAGTCGAAACATGACAAAATCAAACCACAACAAATATTTGCAACCTAAAATCCCTATATTTGACGGATATTATGATTAGTGGATAAACATGTAGAGAATTTTCTTAGCTCCAAGGAGTAATAGCATTTAGTAGAGCATGGATCAGTTGTTATACATATAAAACAACTGTGTCAAAAATTGAAGTCAAAATCATGAAAGAACAACAATTAAAAGATTTGAACATAAAGAATTATTTATATCAAATCCTGATGTTTTAGATATCATTCTAAATGATGATAGTCCAAAGATATTTGAGATTTTATGAAATAAAAGTTTTAAGGGTTTATAAGGGTAGAAAGAATACAATTACAAGCTTTATGTCAAGAGTTTGAAATTCTATAAATTAAGGAAGATGAAAGAGTAAATTTCCTTGAAAATTGTTAAAAGTATAAAGATGTGTGGAGAAAGCATGCGAGAGAACATCATTGTTGTAAAAATCTTACGGTTCACGACTCCAATACGTTGTATGCTCGATTGAGGAATCAAATAATTTGGATATTACGATGAATTACAGAGCATTCTATTAGTTCATGAGCAAATGATGGTGTGTCACGAAGAGAAGGATTAGGCATTACCGATTACATATGGAGATAGGGGAGGAAGATGACGAGAAAGAGCAAGAAGAAGATGTTCTTTTCGTGGCAGAGGAAGAGGGAGATAAACACTTAACAAGGCTGGGATAGAATGTTTCAAGTGCCAAAAACTTGGATATTTTTAATATAAATGTCGTACGTGGAAACAAAAATTATGTTAAGGTGAAAGATTAGGAGAATGAATTCTTGTTAACGATTTATCTTGATTTTAAGCAAGGAACAACAGAAGAATGATTTCTCGATTTCGGGTGTCGTAACCACATGAGTGGTAACAAGGACTGGTTCTTAAAATTAGATAAGAACTTTAGACATGCAGTAAAACTTGGCAATGACACTCGGATGGCTGTAATGGGGAAAGGAAGTGTCCGATTGAAAGTTAATGAAGTCACACATGTAATCTCACATGTGTACTATGTTCTGCAACTGAAAAACAATTTACTAAGCATAGGACAACTCTAAGAGGACATATTATAGAAATAGATATGAAAATGTTTTTATTAACAGCTGCCAGGACACCTTTGAATTCAACATGTTTGTAAGGGTCACAACTTTGACACACCTATTTTGGTCACTTAAGTTACAGTGTCTTGAAAACACTTTCCTCCACAAAAATGGTGAATAGATTGTCGATTGTCATAATTCGAAGAAAGCTCTGCACACACTGTTTGGCTGGGAAGCAGAACCGAAAGCCTATGCCTAAGAAAAGCTTATGAAGAGCGTCAAACAAGCTTCAACTTGTGCAAGGAGACATATGTCGGTTGATTAATCCACTATCAAGAAAAGAGGTATATTCTAAGTTTTATAAATGATTTCTCTCGTAGAATCTGGCTTTATTTTCTGAATGAAAAGTCATACACTTTTTCACTCTTTAAAAGGTTCAAGATGTTTGTTAAAAAGGAAGTTGGTGTAAGCATTGAATGCTTGAGGACAGATAGAGGAGATGAATTTACTTCAAATCAATTTGGTGAATTCTGTAACAGTCATGGCATACATAGGCAGTTGATAGCAGCCTACACATCTTAGCACAAGTGCTTAAGAAACTGGAGATCAAAATAAAGATGTTGATAACAACTTTGTACGTACTAATATGTATTCTACTGACTCTCATATTCTTAATCATGATACTCCATGTGAAGGGAGGGCTAGAAGGAATAGGAGAGAACCTATTTGGATGGAAGAATATGAAAGAGGAGAAATTCTATCATATGATAATGGCCTAAGTGTAATGATGGTCACCGAGGATGACCCAATCTCATTTGAGGAAGCAATCAAGAGTGAGAAGTGAAGAAATGCGATAATGAAAGAGATGAAGTCAATAGAAAAAAAAACATAACTTGGGAGCTGATCTGCCAAGAGGAATGAAACCAATTAGAGTCAAATGAATCTTTAAAACAAATTTAAAGAGACTAGAGAAAAAAATAAGTTCAAAGCTAGGCTAGTAGCTAAAGAGTACATGCAACAATATGGAATGGATTACACAAAGGTATTTTTCCCAATGGCTAGACTTGATACAATTCGCTTAATACTTGTTATAGCAGCCCAATACAATTGGAATGTGTGTCATCTATATGTGAAGAGTATCTTTCTTCACGGTGAACTTAAGGAGGAGATTTATATGGAGCAACCAAATGATTTTGTAAAACAAGGTGAAGAAGAGAAAACGTACAAATTAAAAAAGGCCATTTATGGCCTTAAACAAACACTAAGAGCTTGGTATAACAAGATATAAGCTTATTTTGTTCAAAATGGATTTGATAAATGCCTCTGTGAACATACATTGTTTATAAAATCAAACGAACAAGTAAAATTTTAATTATAAATCTTTATGTAGATGATTTGACATATATTGGAAATGATGGAACTATGTGTGCTGAGTTTAGAAAATCCATGATGATGGAATTTGATATGTTAGACTTAAAGATAATTTCTTGGTGTTGAAGTTATGCAGAATTCAAGTAGAATTTTTATACGTCAGACATGAAAAGTTGTAATGTAGTTAAAAATCTAATTGTTCCAAATACACAGATTGTCAAAGAATGATGTAGGAACCAAGGTTGATGCAACATTGTTGAAACAAGTAGTTGACAGTCTTATGCATTTGATTGCACCTCGGCCAGATTTAATGTATAAGTACGTCTAATCAATAGATTTATGTCCAGTTCTACTAAATCTCACTGGTTTGCAACCAAAAGAATATTAAGATAGTTGAAAGAAATAATCGAACTAGGCATCTACTATAAGAAAGGGGAAAATGCAAAGATTGTAGCATACTCTGATAGTGATTTTGTTAGGGATATAAATGATCAAAAAAATACTTCTGAATCAATAATTTTATCTGGCTTTGGAGCAGTCTCATGTTCTTCAAAGAAACAACCAGTAGTCACATTATCCACCATAAAAGCTAATATATAATTATTGCCTCTTATGCGTATTAATGTATTTGGATTCAAAGAGTATTGGAGAAACTAAGTCTTGAAGAAAAGAAGAACACAGTAATTTTATGTGATAACAATTCCACGATACAATTATCACATAATCTAATATTTTATGAGAAAAAAAATATAAATATTAAATTCTATTTTTTAAGAGATTTAGTGATGGAAAGAATCATTTTCACATACTCAAAGTTGTTGATATAATGATCAAGCTACTCAAATCAAAAAAATTGATGTTAGGCACGTTGGAAGTTTCATAGATAAACTAAATGCTATTGCATCTAGTTTAAGAGAGGAAATGTTAACTTTTATTTTATGA